ATCCCCAGGCCTCTGGGCTGTGTTCTTGGGACCCCCGACCTTACGATTTCTCGCCCAAAAACAACCCATACCGCCCACCTGGCCCCCACCTGGCCACCACCCCCCCCCACGACATCCCCAAGCCTCTGGGCTCTGTTCTTGGGACCCCCGACCCTACGATTTCTCGCCCAAAAACTACCCATACCCCCCACCTGGCCCCCACCTGGCCACCACCCCCCCACGACATCCTCAGGCCTCTGGGCTCTCTTTTTCAGACTTCGGACCTTACGATTTGTCGCCCCCAAACAACACATACCCCCCACCTGGCCCCCACACGGCCACCACCCCCCCACGACATCCCCAGGCCTCTGGGCTGTGTTCTTGGGACCCCCGACCTTACGATTTCTCGCCCAAAAACGACCCATACCCTCCACCTGGCCCCCACCTGGCCACCACCCCCCCACGAAATCCTCTGGGCTGTGTTCTTGGGAGGCAAAAACGACCCATACCCTCCACCTGGCCCCCACCTGGCCACCACCCCCCCACGAAATCCTCAGGCCTCTGGGCTCTGTTCTTGGGACTCCCGCCCCTACGATTTCTCGCCCAAAAACAACCCATACCCTCCACCTGGCCCCTACCTGGCCACCACCCCCCCCCCCGACATCCCCAGGCCTCTGGGCTCTCTTCTTGGGACCCCGGACCCTACGATTTGTCGCCCCAAACCAACCCATACCCCCCACCATCCCCGCCACCTGGCCCTTACCTGGCCACCACCCCCCCACGACATCCCCAGGCCTCTGGGCTCTGTTCTTGGGACCCCCGACCCTACGATTTCTCTTTCAAATCGACCCATACCCCCCACCTGGCCCGCACCTGGCCAGCACCCCCCCCCGACATCCCCAGGCCTCTGGGCTCTGTTCTTGGGACCCCGGACCCTACGATTTGTCGCCCCACCCCAGGCCTCTGGGTTGTGTTCTTGCGACCCCCGACCTTACGATTTCTCGCCCAAAAACAACCCATACCCCCCACCTGGCCACCACCTGGCCACCACCACCCCACGACATCCCCAGGCCTCTGGGCTCTGTTCTTGGGACCCCCGGCCTCGCGATTTCTCGGCCAAAAACGACCCATACCCCCCACCTGGCCCCCACCTGGCCACCACTCCCCCACGACATCCCGAGGCGTCTGGGCTCTGTTCTTGGGACCCCGGACCCTACGATTTGTCGCCCCAAAACAACCCATACGGCCCACCTGGCCCCCACCTGGCCACCACCCCCCCCCACGACATCGCCAGGCCTCTGGGCTGTGTTCTTGGGACCCCGAACCCTACGATTTGTCGCTCCCAAAACAACCCATACCGCCCACCTGGCCCCCACCTGGCCACCACCCCCCCACGACATCCCCAAGTTTCTGGGCTGTGTTCTTGGGACCCCCGACCCTACGATTTCTCGCCCAAAAACGACGCATACCCGCCACTTGGCCCCCACCTGGCCACCACCACCCCACGACATTCTCAGTCCTCTGGGCTCTCTTTTTGGGACATCGGACCCTACGATTTGTCGCCCCAAAACAACCCATACCCCCCACCTGGCCCCCACCTGGCCACCACCTCCACGACATCCCCAGGCCTCTGGGCTGTGTTCTTGGGACCCCCGACCTTACGATTCCTCGTCCAAAAACGACCCATACCTCCCACCTGGCCCCCACCTGGCCACCACCACCCCACGACATCCCCCGGCCTCTGGCCTCTGTTCTTACGACCCCCGACGCTACGATTTCTCGCGCCAAAAACGACCCATACCCCCCACCTGGCCCACACCTAGCCACCACCCCCCCACGACATCCCCAGGCCCAATATTCCGAGGAAGTCTCAGGCGTCGTCGTCGTCGACGCCATCATCGTCGTCATCGTCGTCGTCGTCGTCGTCGTCATCGTCGTCCGTCTCCTCCTGCCATAGCAGGCCAAGAATGCTACGTAGATACAATCATGCGATACATATCACACGGAACGTGCCCCGGGGCCAGAAAACGGCCCCGGGGCCAGAAAACGGCCCCGAAGAATACAATCCGAGGCCGAGTGTCAACCAAAACAGGCGAGACCATTTTTTGATGAGAAATTGCTGCTCAAGGGAGAGAGAGAGAGAGAGAGAGAGAGAGGCGGAATCTAACACACGCACACACAACACGCACACACACACACAAGCGCAGTCAACCCAAGCTCCCGTTCGTCCCGTGTCGCGTTCACGCTGCAGTGCTGCCCGCATCGTCATCAACTCAAACTGAATACCACCCTCCTCTCTCCCCCGCAGTTGCGGGAACCGCTCGCAACGACCCGGACAACAAAGAAAACACAAGACCCCATTTGGGGTCGGCGGCAGAGGCGGCAGCCTTTAAATAAGGAACGAGGCCCCCTTTCTCCCATAAGTGAACTTCGATTTCCCATAGAACAGCTTTGGAAAACCTGAGGCAAACAGTTAAACAATCAAGGAACACCGAGCCCCTCCCCAACGAAAAGGGTTCCTTCTTCAGCGCCCCGACTGTGTGGTGCCAATCGTGGACAGGGCGATGATATCTGCGAAAAAGAACACCGCCAGATTCCCCTTTACATGAAATTTGAACCACATCCCATTTATACCATACCCCTTTCCTACCTCCAGAGATGCATCGCCGATGCACTGGCGATGCATCGGCGACGCCATCGTGGGAGAAGAGCGGGCTCCACATCGAGCCGCACCACCGATGCATCGACGATACGGCGCGACCCTCCGACCCCCCATCAACTCCGACCCCATCCAGGAGGCCTAGAGAGCACCGCCGACGCCTCGGCGATGCACCGGCGACGCATCGGCGACGCCGGCGTGGAGAGCATCGGGCCCCGCCTCGGGCCGCGTCGCCGACCCAGACATGCGACGTCCTGACTTGTTCAGGACCGGTGTCTCATCCTGAGTCGTTTTTGGACGCCCCCGAGGCCCGGCGAGGGCCCCCCGCAGGGGCCGAACATAGCGAACTGCTGGCCGTCCTGATTTTTTTTACGACGCGATCGTGTCTGAGGGTGCGTCGGCGCTGCGGGGCGACCCTCCGGCCCCCCAGCGCTGCTCGGAGCAGCCCTCCGGGAGGCCCAGGCGAGCTGCTCCCGGGAAGGGTGTCGCGCGGCAAGTCCGGGGGCCCACGCGGAGCAGAAGTCACGCAAGTCGGTCGTCGGGGCCCGCTCCTCGCTCGTCCCCGCTGCCGCCATCCTCCTCCGATGGGACGCGTCAGGTTTAGGTCGGGCCTGTCCCCCCCCAGGGGGATTTGGGGCGAACCCTTAAAGATGCCCCAAACAAATTCAAACATAGCCCAAACAAGTAATCAACAAATAGTCCCCACACTATTTTTTAAATGTTTTTTGGAATATTCCTCCTGTCTAGGGACACGCCCGACGTAACTTTAGGGGGGGATGCTGGGTCAAGGAGGGAGCCATCGACCTGGACTCGGCGATGCGTGCCAGACAGATCGGCGACAAGCCCCCGACGGCGAAGCTGCTTGCTCGAGGGGGGCGAGGTGGGCCTTTCGTGCCTCTGCTGGCGATGCATGGGCGATTCGGGAACGATGCGTCCCCCTCTGAGCCTGTCCCTGATTTTCGGGGCCCAACTTTAGGTCGGGCGTGTCCCCCTAGAGGCCGCTTTTTTGGACGAAGAATTTATAAATTGCAAGAATTATTTAATCTAAATATGGAAAAGCACCAAAAAACGTCCCCTGATCATTTTTTGGCCATTTTTGAACATTCCCCCTGTAGAGGGGCCGTCCCGACTGAAGCCTAGCTCGGGCCTCCCGCGGCCGTTCGAGACGATCCAGGCACCCCGGAGCGCTCTCGGCGGCGCGCGGCCGCCGGAGCGCACCCTCGAGGCCGGAAGAGCGACGAGCACCTGCGAAAGCGCCCGAAAGAGCTCGGGCGTCGGCAGAACTGGGTTCAGTGGGGCCTGGTTTCGTGACGTGTACGGGGGGACGCCCCCCCGCCCCGTTGCACTGATTGGAGCTGCCGTCACCCGAACAACACCAGCTGCGGCAGACCTGGTTTAGTGATTCTGGCCAAATTGGGGGCTCCGGGGCCCTACCACTAACCGGGTCCCCTCACATGGGGTCCTGGCGATACCCGAAGAGTCCCCTCCACTCGTTCCCTGATCCCAATTGGGCGGCGATCAAAAAACGGGCCTTGCGCGAGATGACGGAGCGACCTTGCGCAGTGGCTTGCGCGGGCCGCCAGCGAGGCACGCCACTTCGGAGACGAAGGCGCTGACGCGCGACCTCACGCGGGCAGCACACGCGCCAATGTCGGCCTAAACGACCCTGGTTTTTTGCGTCCCTCAATTCTCTTCTCTAGGCTTTGTCCCTGACCTCCCTCCCCCCCACTCGGGGGGAACGAACGGGGGGGATAGCAAAGGGTAGGGTAGAGAATCAGCTCACGTAGCTGATTTTCCCAGAGCCTCCCGGCGCCGGGAGGCGCCCACGTATACATGGCCGCCGCCAGGTCCATTCCTCGATGTATCGAGGCATGGGCCCGGCGGCGGCATGCAGCAGAGTTCGTACCCCCCCGTTCCTCATCATCCCCTTCCGTTCGGCCCGACTGACCCCTCCCCCCCACGGATGGCGCCCGGAGACGTCTCGCTCGAGCGTCGCCTTCTCCTGCGCCCGGCCGCGAGTGGCGCCGGCGGCCGGGCGCGCTACAGTCGGGGCGCTGACCTGAGGAACCCTAAATAAGGAACGAGGGCCCTTTTTTCCATAAGTGAAACTTCGATTTCCTGTCGACAACATGAGGAAATCCTGAGGCAACCTGTGAAACAATTAAGGAAGATCGAGCCCCTCCCCAACGAAAAGGGTTCCTTCTTTCGGGGATAGACAGACCCCCCTTTAGCAAAACGTGGTGTAGTGAAAACGGCCTGAGGCCCAAACCTGGCGGGCGCAAGCCTGGAAAATAACGGCCACGGCGCCTTCTCGAGAACCGAAAACGGACAATTCACTAATCGACGTGTCACTGTTGGGGGTTCTATCCACCCCCGATTCTTCAAGACCCCCGACTGTATAGCGGCAGGCAGGTCGAGGCGGGCAAGGGAGGGACGGATATCGGGCGACGCGGCTCGAAAAGCAGACCGGGCTCGGGCTCCTCGCCCGGGGCATACTCGAAAAAGCAGCACGACGGGTGGAGGCCCTCTTGAAGCAGGAAGAGGGCGCTCGACGCAGCTGGCGACCTGGCTGCTCCTCCTCCTCCTCCTCCTCCTCCTGCTCCTGCTCCTCCTCCTCCTCCTCCTCCTCCTCCTCCTCCTCCTCCTCCTCCTCCTCCCCCAATCGCCAATAGGCCTACCTACGACCTTCTGAGGAGCCCCCGTCGCCCGCGCCGCCGATGTTCCAAGGTGCCTACTTCCAGCGCTTGGCGTGCACGCGTCGCCGATGCTTCCCCGCTCTCCACCCCGCCCCTCTTCTGCCGGCCCTCGGGGCCGAGCCCTCGGCCTCTGGATCGGGGCCGGACCTGAACGGTGCTTTTTTCGTGCTCGTGCTGTCTTCGTTCTCCCTCGCATCTTGCCTCGAGCCCGCCTTCCCACCGCAGAACGAAGCCGAAACGAAAGCGGCCCACGAGATCGCCAAAAACACCGCCTGGGTCCAGCCCTGCTCCGGAGGCCTCGGCGCGGGGCCAGGGGCGCGCAGGGGCTTCGGTCACCCGCTCCTCCTCCCCCCCCCCCCGGAGGGGGAGGAGCACCCGAGGACCGAGGCCCCCTCCTCCTCCTCCTCCTCCTCCTCCTCCTCCTCCTCCTTTCCTCCTCCTCTCTCCTCCTCTTTCTCCTCCTCCTCCTCCTCCTCCTTCTCCTCCTCCTCCTCCTCCTCCTCTTTCTCCTCCTCCTCCTCCTCCTCTTTCTCCTCCTCCTCCTCCTCCTCCTCCTCCTCCTCCTCCTAGCGCCAGCTGGCACGAGCACGGCACTCGGGACCAGCCAGCGCCACGGGCGCCGCCGGGCGCCGCCGCCCCTACCCCCAGAGCCAAGGGGCCCAAGGACACACCAATTCGCCGGCCCAACGGGCTCAGAGGCGTGCTAAGATCTCCGGTAACTGCTACATTATACTTCTACTTCGCGCGCGCGGGGCGGCCCCTGGGGATCCCCGGACGAAAAGTACCCCGGGCGATCCCCGGCAGGGTCGGATCAGAGATGGTTTTCCTCCTGGGCGCCGCCCCCGTGGCCTTCCAGAGAGCCCCAAGAAGGGCCACGAGGCCGCCAAGAGCCCTCCAAGATGGTTCAAGAGTGCTCCGAGATGCCACACGATCGTCCCAAGACGCCCAAGATGGCCCCCAGACGCCCCAAGAGGCCTCCAAGAGCACTCCCCAGAGGGCCCCAAGAGGCAAAATTCATTACTTTTCCGTAGGTTTTGGGTAGATTTTGGCGTGTCCATCTTTTCGGCTTCCCGACGCCCCAAGACGGCCCAAGAGGCCCCCAAGATCGCCCCAAGAGGGCCCAAGAAGCTCCCAAGAAGGCCCCAAGATGGCCCAAGAGGGCTCCAAGACGGCCCCAGAGGCATCCAAGACGGCCCAAGAGGGGCCCAAGAGGGCCCCAAGCGATGCCCCAAAGGGGGAACACAAAACAAAACTTCGAGCCCTCGGCCTTAAGAAGCCCCCAGGAGGCCTCAAGAGGCCCCTGAGAGGCCCCAAAAGCCCCCAAGAGGCCCTCAGGAGGCCCCCAAGCGACGCTGAAGAGGCCCCCCAGCGGCCCCAAGAGGCTCAGTCATGCGAAATGGGCCGGCGGAATGAGCGAAGCGATTCAATACATACACACAAAATAACAGGATTCCCCCTCTTTTCCCACGTCTTCTGAGTTTTCGTCGTCCCCCCCGCTGCCCATGTCTTCCCATATTTCCGGGGAGGCAACGAATTATTGTTTGTGTGTTTTTCCCCCTCACCCCCAGAGGTGAGCAGAGGGGGAGTGGAGCCCCCTCCCCTCCCCTCGCTGCTGGGGGAGACACAGCAACAGTCACGAAACGCCACCGTGGGGGACCTATCGGCGAGTCACCGTGTTGAAGAAGCACCAGGCCTGCGGGCGCAAGAGGATCAGCAGCAGCGCGCGGAGGGGCTCCCAGCGCCGGCGTGCCGAGGGCAATGTGTGAGTTCAAGAACTGGTCGCCGGCCGCCCTGTGTGGCCATCGAGGTGCGCGGCGGAGGCTCTGCTGCAATCTGCTCCAGTTCCAGATTCCAGTCTTAGGTCGGACGATATTAAAACATACGCTATTCATACAAAACAATAGCCACGCATACTAAAACATCGCCCCTCGATTTTTTTATATAAAATGTTTGGATATTCCCCCTGTAGAGGGACATGCCCGACCTAATTCCAATCTCCAATGTCATAACTCTCCCTTCCGCTTTCCACTGTCATTTATTACTGTCCGCGCGCGTAGCAGACACTGGCCAGGAATCGGGGACCGTCCCCGAAGAGCGTTGCCGCAACTTCTGGTGGGCCTGGGACGCGCAGAGTGAAGGGGCCCTGGGACGCACAAACATACAGACACACACACACAACAGGACTCCCACGCATTGCCGCATACTTTCTGGGCTTTCGTCTTCCTCCCATCTCCCAGACTTCCCCATCTTTCCCTGGGAGTCGACGATTCCTCGTGTCTGCGTGATTACTCTCCCCCTGGAAGAATGACGTGCGAGTCGCGCCATCCCCGGTACATCCCACCAGGCTCACGCTCCCCGAGGCCAGAACCCCCCTGTGTGTCGCACGACGCTCGCGCCGCCGAGGCCAACTTCCTCGGCACATCACGCCAGGTCTGCGATCCAGAGGTCAGCACGCTGGAGCCGCGATCCCGCGGCCATCATCCCTCGTGAACTGCAGCGGCTTCGCGATTTCGAAACCAAGATCGCGTGTAAGAGGCTCCAGACTCGCGCTCCCGACGCCAGGACCCTTCTCCGCAACCCTTTTTCGCATTGCGCCAGGTTCGCGATCCCGAAGCTAGGGCTCCCTGGTAGATCACGCCAGATTCGTGCTCCCGAGGCCTGAATGTTTTTAATACACCAGGCTTGCGATCCCGATGCTAGAATCCCATATAAATTGCCCCAACTTCGCGCTTTCGACACCCCAAATCCAAGGCAAAGTACTTCAGATTCTGGCTCCCGATGCCAGAATTATGTGCATATTGCTTGAGATTCGCGCTCCCGAAGCCGCAATCCCTGTTACATTACATCAGATTCGCGCTCCCGAGGCCAGAATCCTTTGCACATTACGCGTGATTCGCGCTCCCGAGGCCAGACTCCATTGCAAAACGCGGACGATTCGCGCTCGCGAGTCCAGATCCCCTTGCATATTCGCGCTCCCGACGCCAGAATCCCTGGTGCATTACGCCAGACTCGTGCTCCACGGGCCAGATCCCATAGGGAATTCTGGCAGATTCGCGGTCCCGAGGTCAGAATCCGGTGCACAATACGCAAGATTCGCGAGGGGAACGCTTCAAACACGCAACGAAGTGTACAATCATAGCTCCAGCATCTCAACATGTTTGGCTCATTCCTATGGGTCCCCGCATGATGTTCCCGAATGTCGTCAACACGGCGTCCAGACATCCTGGCACGGCTCTGATATCTTCCATTATTATAGAGAAGGAGATGCGACGGCAAAAGGAGAAACCCTTACGGATAAAAGCCGCTCGGGCCAGACATAACACATGTTTGAGTGGAGCAAGATCGCCAGAAGTCTCCTCCATTCTTGCGTCCACTGCATGCGATGCTGATGCGGGGATGTCGAGGGGGGATGATAAATCTCTCGCCAACCGGAGCGGACGGAAAGGGGGGAGGCATCCTTTTATACTTCTGGGGCCAAAGTTTTGTTTGTCCACCTCTCTCCCCTCCTTTATCCTTCCCAGTTCTCCCTCCTCTGCCCCCCATGACCGCCCCGCTCGCCACAATTAAGCGATATGAATGCTAATTACTCCCCTCTCTCCCCTGACTCCATTCAGAAGATACTCGGCCTTCGCGTGCCGTGCTCGCAGGTCTCGCCCTCCGACCGCGGCTGGCGAACAAGAAACCGGCGCAGCGGGACAGGACGGGACGGGAGAGAGATAGCACATCAAAGAAGCGCAAGCGCACCTGGCTTGGCTCGAGCCCCGCTCCTGCCGGCCCTCGGGACCGAGCCCGCGGCCCCACCGCCCTGCCCTCTCCCCCCCCACTCCCCAGCAGAGGAGGGCGACGCTCGGCGCGGCTCCTCCGCCGTCAGGGCATCGCCCAGGTGCCGCCCGAAAGAGTCCGCCTCCAGGGCGTCCGCCTCCCCCCCAGATCCCCCATGTGCCCCGGCTGCGACAGGGCCGCTTGTTTTTTGGTTATTCTTCTCTCTCTCTCTCTCTCCCTCCCCCTGTCTCTCCTTCTCTTTCACTCTCTCTCTCTCTCTCTCCTTCCTTCTCTTCCCCTCTCACATGTTGTTGTTTTTTTTGTTGTTTGATTTCTCTATATAGAGTTGATTATATCACATGTGTAAATCTTGGATATGGCGGGTTCCCGCCACCCTGAGCCCAAACACGTTGTCATCTCTTGGGGCGCATGTTTGATTGTCGCTGGCCTCCGCCGGCCTTCTTTTTAACCAACGCAACACCCTAGAACAATCGATCGGATGTCTAGCGTCGGGCCCGTCCAAAAACCAACCGTAAACACGGCGCAACCTCGAGAAAACGCAAAGCGACGAGGCAGAGGGCCAGAGGAGCGAGCACGCACGCGAGACCGATGGCCCCGCGCTCGAGCACCCCTTCCTCTGAGGGGATGGCACAACGAGAGCGGCCGCCTGAACACCCTCTAGTGTAAAGGCGGGCCCTCATCAAAGAAAACAACTGAGCTAGCCTCCCTCGGGGCCTGGCCCACGAACTTTGAAGTAGTTTCGCAGGTCTACTGTAGAAGACTGGGATCAGCTGGGGCCTGCACGGGGTCTCACTTCTTCTTCGGGCGCTTCGGCAATCCGTTGGACCCGTCCCCGCCTCACTTGAATATCAACTTCTCGAGCTCTTTGGCCGTCTTGGACCGTGGAGCCTCGTCGTCCTCTGGAAGCAAACTCACGTACTTCCGCCCCCCGTTGGCCTTGAGCACACACGGCGCTGCCTTCACCGTGGGGTGCGACATAACGGCGAATATCCACTTGGCTTCCTCTCCCTCCTCTCCGTCGATCGTCGTCGGGGCTTTCACGTCGAAACACCTCGTCGCTTTGATCCTCGCCTCGGGACCCTTGGGGCGCATCCCGAACTCCACCAGCATCATCAGCGCCGGGGCCGATTCCTGAGGGTTGGTGCCGTGGGCAGCCGCGGCCACCACCATCACCACCTCCTCGGGCCTGGCCACCACGGCCACGCTCAATCTGAACAGCAGCATGCAGAGATAGTCGTCGAGCTTCTGGCCGAGCAGGTCGGCTGCCGTGACCTTGCCTTTGGCATCTTTCCCGGCTTTCTGGTAGTAGGCCGTGCTCGACTCCAGCACCACCTGCATCTGGGGGCAGACTCGGAGCCGAACAACCACGTTCTGGTCTCGCGCCGTCCCTCGAAAGTTGTCTTCGCGCAGCAGCAGTAGTTTGGTCATCTGTCGGTCCTTCTTCGAGATGCCCGCTACCTCGGTGCCCTTGGCGCTCAGGTTGATGCCCTCGACTCCTGCCTCGCCCGCATCTCGCTTCTTGGGCAGCTCGTCCGCGGGAGTGAACATCACGTCTCAATGTGTTGGTCACTGCCGCTGTCAATAATGGTCGATCTGAAATTGATAGCGATGGTGGCGTCTGAGCCCGAACAAGCTGCGGGTCGGAAAGATGTGGGCATCGTTTCAGCTGGATATGCCTGATCAGGGTATCCTTGCGAGTAAACACTTGAGAACAATATGGGCACCTGCGGGCACTGAGGTCCTCGGAGGGGATATTCACACGGTTAGCAATGATAGAGTCGACCGCAAACCTGTAGTTCTCCAGCCACTTCCGACCGTTGCATCCTTTTCCACACTCTGGGCACACAAAAAGTCGAGAGGCATCGATCTCCCCTGCCTCCTGCGTCAAGTCGCTCTCAGCTTCGTGTGCAAAGGACCACTCTGAGCTCGGCAACAGAGAGCATGTTTAGCCACTCCACCCAGTCACTTGAGACACGTGGCGAATCGGACGGTGCTCGCTCCTTGTCAGCTGCTGGGATGCAAGTCCAAAGCGCCCGAAGATCCAAAAGGAGTTGTCCTGTTCGGCAGGAGTGGTTGCGGCACCTGGAGTCCTCGAAGGAAAGCTTCCCGAATACTACTGATCGTATCGCTATCGTGGGGTCATAGTCTGGGGGTTCTGGTAGAAGTCCTGGAGATATGACATGCCGCCACCACTGAAACCTACGATGCAAAAGAGCAGAGCTGACACTGAAGATGCTGGTTCGCCTACGAATATCCGGGTTGGAGACGCGATACATGTGAACGGGGGGCCGCAACATATGTCGAAGTTTGCGGGTCTGCCACCTTTCCAACTTATTCAGATCGGCTCGGGTCAGGAAGGCTACCTCCAGCGCGTGCAGCGCGATCTAATGAACAAGCGAGCGCCACAGGCGCACCTTCAGACGGATACTGAGGTTGCCCTTTAGAACACGTTGGGCAAGACGGCCGTGCGCCTTGTTCGCAGAGGAGAGGCGAGTCTTGACCTCGGGGGAGTAGGAGCCCGTGGCAGAGAGCAGGCAGCCGAGGTACTTAAGCGTCGGTGTCGGGTGTAAGGCGCGCACCTGCATGTCTACGTGGGTCATGTTAATGCCAGTCTGCTGTTTCGCAATCTGTTGTGGGAGTTTCCTGCAGCCCCTCCCCACAACGCTCAACACCAACTCGGTTTTTGAAACGTTCATAGTCAGACCGCTGGCATTAACCTGAATCCTCAGGAAGTCTAGGAACGAGGTGACTGTGTCGAAATCGTCGACAATAGTCAGCGCGATTAAATCATCTACGAATTTGATCTGGGACGTGTCTGGAACGGATAACTCGGTAGCCGCAAAGTCCCCGGAATTCGTGAAAACCTGGAAGGAAGGGTCGTACTGGACCTGGACGCCCTTAAACCCCGCGTCTAAAATTTGGTTTCCGATATCATTGGTAATCATGTCATAGATCGCGATGAATAGCCCAGGACCCTCCACACTACCTTGCCGAACCCCCTTCCGAATAAGAAGTCGACGATTCGTACGAGCATCCCTAAGAATATAACAGGTTCCGATGTATAACTCCTGAGCGGTCAAGCGAGTTTGCCGAGACAGAGCGAGTTTCTCGAGGGAGGCCCATACCTGCTGACGATCGAGCAAATCAAACGCCTTCTCCAACTCAATCAGAGCCGAGACGAGGATGACTGCTGGGTTCTGGGCACGCCAAGGATTAGAACGAAAACGTCTGCTGACCTCGTCGGCCAGTGCAATGGCATCGCGAGTAGAACGGCCTTGCAGCGCGCCAGACTGCGTGCTGGACAACTTGCTAGACATCTGGCGCAGTTCTGGCATAATGGTAGCGTTTTCTCTCTCTCTCTCTCTCTCTCCCTCCCCCTGTCTCTCCTTCTCGTTCCTTCTCTCTCTCTCTCTCGCCATCCTTCTCTTCCCTTCTCACATGTTGTTGTTTTTTACCTAACAGCGAAGACTGATAGGTTTCTAGTTGACTCAAAAGAGCTCACAGATCACTCCACAAGGGGGTCCGGGCAGGTGTTGGGAGTTGCCGGGCGGCAGGTGCCGGGCTCGTTTTCCGCCAACAGTCACACACTTCGTGCTCTTCGATTTCCCAGAACTCCATTCCCAGGCCACATTCTGGAGGGCCGAATGCAACAGTCACACACTTCGTGCTCTTCGAGTTCCCAGAACTCCATTCCCGGGCCACATTCTGGAGGGCCGGATGCAACAGTCACACAATTCGTGCTCTTCGAGTTCCCAGAACTCCATTCCCGGGCCACATTCTGGAGGGCCGGATGCAACAGTCACACACTTCGTGCTCTTCGAGTTCCCAGAATTCCATTCCCGGGCCACATTTTGGATGCCCGGAGCCAACTGTAGGCCACTTCGTGCTCTTCGAGTTCCCAGAACTCCATTCCCGGGCCACATTTTGAATGCCCGGAGCCAACTGTAGGCCACTTCGTGCTCTTCGAGTGCCCAGAACTCCATTCCTGGGCCACATTTTGAATGCCCGGAGCCAACTGTAGGCCACTTCGTGCTCTTCGAGTTCCCAGAACTCCATTCCCGGGCCGCATTTTGATGCTGATGCAGAGGCTGAGAATGGTGATGCTGATGCTGAGGCTGAGGCTGAGGCAGGCAGGCTGAGGCTGATGAGGCTGAGGCAGGCTGAGGCTGAGGCCGAGGCTGAAGGCAGGCTGAGGCAGACGCTGAGGCAGGCTGAGGCTGAGGCAGGCTGAGGCTGAGGCTGAGGCTGAGGCAGGCTGATGCTGAGGCAGGCTGAGGCTGAGGCTGAGGCTGAAGGCTGAGAGGCTGAGGCTGAGGCTGAGGCTGAGGCTGAGGCAGGCTGAGGCTGAGGCTGAGGCTGAGGCTGAGGCTGAGGCTGAGGCTGAGGCAGGCTGAGGCTGAGGCTGAGGCTGAGGCTGACTGAGGCTGAGGCTGAGGCTGAGGCTGAGGCTGAGGCAGGCTGAGGCTGAGGCTGAGGCGACTGCGAGAACAGCGAGAACTGCTACAACTGGATTATCATCTGAATCTTAATGGGAATGCTTCCATATATGCTTCTACACATCGCTGTTAGGTTGCTTTGCCGGGATAATTTGTTTTTGCTTCCTTTCTATATAATTAGATCGCAGGTGTAGATCTTGGATATGGCGGGTTCCCGAAGCCCTGAGCCCAAACACGTCGTCATCTCTTTGGGCGCATGTTTGATTGTCGCTGGCCTCCGCCGGCCTTCTGCCGGCCTCCGCCAGCAGGGCCGCCGACTCGTATCACTTCCGCCACCATCCTCCGTAGCTCTTCCGTTGCTCTCCGCCAAGGAAGACATGGCAACTCCTCTGACCATCGTAGGCGAGGCTATTTCTGGAACCCGCCAGACTATATATATATATATATATATATATATATATATGCAAGACTGCATTGGCGCTTCGCGCCATGCGCCTTGTTCGGGACGCTTCCCTGGCAAAGCAATAAATCATCGCTTGCTTCAGCAGGGGGGACCTCGAGGCCTGGACGGGCGACGCGCCCATTTTCCGATAGCCCTGGTGCCTGCTGACACCGCGTTCGGACGATGCGCTTGCACGCTTGTGCGCAGGAGTGAAGAAACAATGCTGATTTTATCACGCGCGAAGGTCCTCAGAGGAAGTAAGGAGCGTTTCCATGACACGCCGAAGAAGCCACAGTAGCTCCGAACACATAGATGTTTGGTCGCTTCCTGAATGCCTGGAGGGCTCCAGACACTCAGGAGATCTAGATCAATTGCCTCTCTCTCTCTCTCTCGATCGGGGGACTACTGAAACCTCGAGCCTCAAGCGTGAAACCAAGATCGTCGGGTCAGCTAGATGTATTTCGTAGAAGAACGCCGTCTGGTCGTTTTTGGGGCTCTCTTGGGCCGTCCTGGGGCACTCTTGGGCCGTCCTGGGGGCTTCTTGGGCCGTCTCGGGGAGCCGGGGCCCTCCAGAGGTCTTCTGAAGCCATATGTGGCCCTTTTTCGGGCGTCCAGTGGCCTTCTTGGAGGTATCCCATGTTTTTCGCGGGTCTCTCTTGAGAGCCTTCTGGGGGCATCTTGGGCTTCTTGTGGGCAGTCTCGGGGCTCTCTGGGGCAGTCTTGGGACCCTGTTGGGCCGTCTCCAAACCCTCTAGGGGGCCTCTTGGGCCGTCCTGGGGCGAGATCGGGGGCCCATTGGGCCGTCGTGGACGCTGCGAAGACCCAAGGAACGGATAAGCAAAACATATGTATTTCCTCAGGGAATGTGACGATTTTGGCTTCTTCGGGGCTCTCTTAACGGCCTCTTGTGGTGTTTTGGGGGCCTCTTGGGCCGTTTTCAAACCGTCGAGGTTCCTCTTGGAACGCTCTTGTGCTGTCTTGGGTCTCTCTTGCGCCTCTCCGACGACCCCTCTGATCGCCTCCAGCCGGCTCGCGAGGCCCAGCGAGGCGCCCTGGGAGGCCCGGGAGGGCCACCCAAACTTTTCCAAGGGCGCCCAGGGGGCCGCCGAGACGTCCTAAAGGGCGTCCGGAACGTCCCCGGGGGGGGGATCCGGTGTTTGGGGGGGGGTCCAAGTCATCAAAATATGAGAATAGGAATAGCTATCTATTCCCATATGTATATATATATATATATATATATATATATATATATATATATATATATATATATATATATATATATATATATATATATATATATATATATATATATATATATATATATATATATTTACAGGGCCGGGGACCCCGGAAAAGCGGCACACGGTGCCCCCCCCCCCAAAACGAATTTCGGTCTCCCCGAGCCTTTGGGGCGCTCCTGCAGAGTGCTTCGTGTCTGTCCTGCGGGTGCGACGCGAAAAAAAAACACGACGGCCAAAGAGGGCCCCGAGACCCAAAGATCGGCCCAAGACGCCCAATCTGGGCCCAAAACTGCCCAAGACGCGTTCCAAACGCCCCCAGAGACCCCCAAGAGGCCTCCCAAGAGAGCCCCGAGAGGCTACAATTGTTGATTTTCCTATACGTTTTTCGATGTTTTTGGCCTTCTCGTTTTTTCCCGCTTCTCGACGCTCCACAATGGCCCAAGAGGCTCCCTAGATCACCCCAGTATTGCCCAAGAGGCCCCCAAGAAGGCCCCAACACGGTCCAGGAGGGCTCCGAAACCGCCCAAGAGGCGCCCAAGACGGCCCAAGAGAACACCAAAACGGCCCCAAGAGAGACCCAAGAGGGCGCCCGAAAATTCAAAAACTAAATTTTCCGCCGCGAGAGGGCCCCACGAGGCCCGGAGAGAG